AAACGATTTGCATTTTTGGAAATAAATAAAATATTTAAATTTTCAGTGATTATAGGAAATGTTTTTATAATCTTTGTCTACTTTCTTGCGCATGCTAAAAGTGAGCAAACAAACATGTTTTGTTATTGCAAAGTAAGGGGAACTCAATAGACCACGACAAAAGAAAGTTAAATAAAACAAGTTGAAAACTAAGACATACTCTTTTCCAACCCATTCAATGCCAGATTTCCACAGTATAAATAAGAAAGTTTTCCGCCGAGAGGGGGAACATGAAAAGCAAACACAAAAGCAAATTGATGGCTGGCTAGGGGTATTCATGTGTGTGTGTGTGGGTATGTGTGTGGGTATGTAGATAGTAGGAGTTTGGTATCCCGACTTGGTATTTAAAATAATAATCATAATTTGCTACACCTGTCGTCAACTTTTTATGCGTGTCATTTACAATGGCAACGACAATGTTTTTGCATAATTCTCATAAAAAGTAATTTGGAAAATTTCCAACAATAAAACATTTAGAATAAAAAGGTCCTAAGTGTCAGCTTGTGTGTGTGCCCAACAGATCGGGAGCGCGAGCGAGAGGCAAAGAGAGAGAGAGAGAGAGAGAGAGAGGGAGGGAGAGGGAGAGATAGGAATAGGGGGAGAGCGCTTTTATCCAATCGTAAAAAACTCATATTAAGAACTAACGAGTTCCCCTATAAGTCGGCTCATCAAAATTACGGTATATCTGCTAATTAGTTGAATTTTCAAAATTCACAAAATGATTGCGTAATACGTTAAGTCGGCAAATCACAAAAACTTGCAATGAAAATTAATCAAAACAAAGATAGCAATAGAGAAAGAGAGAGAGAGAGAGACATAATATAGGATGACTTGAGAACATGAGAGAGATATGGAACGAGGGATACAAAGGTAGATGAGCGACAGAGAGATAGGGAGAATAGGAGAGATAGAGACAGAGAGTTATAGAGTGAGACAGATAGGGAGGGACAGAGGAAACCAGAAATAGATAGATAGATAGAAATAGATAAAGGTAGAAAGAGAGAAGGGAAGCCAGAAGTGTGAGTGAGATACAAATAAAGAGAGAGAGAGAGAGACAGGCAGAGAGATAGAGAGAGATACAGGCAGAGAGATAGAGAGAGACAGAAAGAGAGAAAGATACAGAGAGAGAGAGAGACAGAGAGAGAGGAAGGCAGAGAGTGATAAATTTAGCAAAAGGGAAGGAATGATGTAAGTGACATTGATATAGAGGAAAAGAGTAAAAGTGGATGAGGCAAATAGGGGGAGAGAGACGGAGAATTAACAGCTTGTATGATTCAATTCATTTTATGAGATATACATTGAATCGATATTAATTATTTTTTAGTTAGTCAGATATATTCAATTTTTCCATTACCTTTTTGGGAAACTTATTTATAAAAGAGAGAAAAATAGGGAAAAGTACCTAAAGAGTAAACAATGCCTGGCATAAAATTGCAGTCGCCTTCTCTATTTATTTAATTATATTTAAAATATTGATGCTGATGTAAATTAAATGTAAACAATGTTTAATTTTAATTGAAATAAATGTTAAACATTATTATAAATAATTGAAAAATGTCATACGGGTATATCCGTTGATTGAGATATTGGTTAACATCAAATATATGTATATACATCTTTCATAGTTCTTAGGGCCATGAATTCCAAGCTTGACGGCTTCCTTAATCTATAAACAAATTGAAGTTCTCTTAAAGCGTGAGCGAGTATTATGCAGTCATTCGCACCCGAGAGCAGCATTAATTCTTGTTGATTTTTTATTTGCTATGGGCGAAACTCATTCACAAAGATGACAAGCAATCGCAATAATGAATACCTTAAAAAAAATGGCAACATAAACATGAAAAACGTTGTTAAATTATATAACAAAGTAAACAGTAACAACAATAACAATAACAAGTGTTGAAAAACGTAAAATTGCAACTTTATTTTAGATGCGGAGCATCCATTAAAATGGCTCAACATATTTCAAGTGTGTTTAATTTTAAATTAATTATGCCTGCAAGCAAGCATGTGAGAGTGTATGAGTATGTGTAACACACAGACACACACACGCACACATACACATACTCTTACATCAACACAATTTAAATATGTAATGAAATTTGCGCATAAAACTTTAGCTTTGGCAGAGCTTAACTTTCAACAAAAAAAGAGAAAAAAAAATATATAAAAACAGCAACAAATAACATGTAAAGCAGACGCCGAGAGAGAGAGAGAGAGAGAGAGAGAGAGAGAGAGAGTGTGTGTGTTCGACTAGCTAATACTCTGTATATTGATAATGTAACATAAATTAGAAATATATTTGATAATATTTTAAGGAATTTGTATGCCTCACCAAGAGCTAAAAGAAAATGAAACTTTCATATATATGGGGACATTTAATCATTTAAATCTAAATCTGTGCTCAATTTATTACTTTGCTCTTATTTCATTATTATTGTTATTAGTTATAAGCTTGAGTACTTCAAGGTCTGTTGCATACACTGCTTTAATTTGATTATACCCTGTAATTTGCCTGCCTTTGAGGGTTCAGTGGGCAAGCGAAAAATGGGAGAGCTAACATAATAATGTTCGTAGTCTCTTTGGTCATGTCGCATGCAACAGCAACAACAAACTAATCAGCAAAGCCTTTGGGCTGAGGGCCAAAGAGACAGCAACAATAACAAACAGTGGGCCATTTAAAGTGTTTTCTATATACATATACATACAGTGTATATGTATATATGTATGTATATGCTTAAATTGCATTTTTTGTTAGCGGGCAATTTAATTGGAATAGTTTTGGACAAACATCAACTGACTGGGGCTGCTGCGGCTACGGCAGCTCCATGGCTGTCCACTGAGCTAAGGCAAAGGCATTTCCCGCCAGGCATTAGCCGAGATTCAACTTTTAAGGCATGTTTGCATTCGCCAGCTGAACTCGGCTCAATAATGGTTGCCATGCCCTTGGCAACCTTGAAAGGCATGCAACACATGCACCTATCTCGTATGCCCCTCTCCCTCCTCCCCACAATTGCCAACTCATGCTGCTACCCATTGTTTTATTGGGCACATAAAACTTTATTTAATAACCGCTGCATGCTGCGAGCCGAGAGCTGCGAGCTGGCCATAAAAAGCAGCTATTAAAATTGCAAAACAGAACGAAAAGCAGCGAATGAATAAACGAAAACATTTAAAATAAAATCATGCCTGAGCCCTTTTAGTTGGGCGTGGCAATGGACGAAATTTATGGTCTTACAGGCTTTATGCATTCTCTCTCTCTCTCTCTCTCTCTCTCTTTCGCTCTATCAGTATGTCCTGCCCGCTCTGATGTGTCAATGAGGACATCGCCTGGCCGAGTGCTGTGGCGAATAATGACGTCAAGGTTTTGATTGAAAGGATTATTGTTATGATATTTTCATTTTGACTATAAAACATTTGATTTATAGACTTGTTTTTCGAGAAACTCAACTGAAGTCCTGATGGCAGCGGATATAATCAAAAGTTTTGCATTTTTTCTTAAATAGGTCGCAGAGGCAAGACCTTAATAAGGAACTACAGACTATTAAAGAGTTAAGGTCAGCTTCATTTAGATAACTGCTTTATGAATACATCCAATTTAGACTTTATGTTATCTATATGTATATCCTATTTAAAGAAGGACACGCATAAGAAAATTGAGAGTTGATTTTATTATCAATATGATAATTAGTATTATCATAGCCACATGGTATATAGAATAGTATTACATTATAATTAACTATAAGCTTTAGCTATAGTTTAGCCAGATGACATATTAGTATCTCGTTAGTAATATCAAAGAACTTAGCTCTATTATTTATGTATAATATAGATAAATTCCTTGATCTGTTTGTTTGTTGTCTGTCTCTTCTCATTGGCTATCTTTCGTAAACATTAACTACAATACCAAGCTGACCTAAGTATAGCCTATTTCATTAATTATTATGCAATTTATACCATTCGCAATGTGCAGCTTTATCAATACAAAGAACAGCTGATTTACTGTACTCAGGTAGAGGGAGAGCAAGTACAAGGGGATCTCTCATGCCTTACAATTAATTGTTACTGTGATATTGGTATCGTTAGCCGTTCCCCAAAGTTGTCGACCATATGTCCTCATGAGTAATTCCTTCTATATGATCGGCTTACTGCTCAATGCAAATTAGAGCAAAACACAAGGCCAGGACTTAGGATGATAGACAGGAGTAATCGACGATATTTTCATTTTATAAAGTAAATATAAATATAAATATGAAGATGATCTTTTGTTATCTTGGCAAATTAACTTGAAGATTTCTGGCTCGCAGGATCAGGTATATAGTTTTAGCTAAATTCCCACATAAGAGAGATTTTTTTTTTTTTAGCCTGAAAAGTAAAGTAAATCTTAAAAATTTAAGTTGAATAATATTAATTCATTAATAAATACTCGTTCGTTTCATTTGTTTATTTGATGCACTTTTTTTTTTTTTATTAATTCTTTATTTTGGGTTTACGTTTCATTATTAGGACTTAACATTATAAATTTGTTATATTTGTAACTAGACGATTATAAATTTTGCCGTAAGTACATTTATAAATATATATATATATATTTTTCATTTTATTTTCATTTTAATTGAAAGTAATAGAACAAGCGAATGAAATGTAAATTAAAATATTAATTTTGAGTGATTAAAACTAAGCTCTTTTTTGTTACCGTTAGTTTCATGTATGTATATGTATATGAGCAAACAAGAAAAGTTAATTTATAAAGTTACAAAAAAATAGAGAGAAAACAATCATGAATGTCGCAGTCGGGCGTTACCGACTGTGGAATACTCATTCATGGCCAAAAATTGGCCACACTTTCAATGTTTTTGATGGGAATAAAGGAAGTTAACAGTAATTTAGTCGTTAAATTTTCTCAAGCTCTAATCCCGATTTGCCACGCCTGCAATTGGAGATCTATATCTAGAGCCAGAACAGAATCTCAGACGGACAGAAATGTAGACATTGCACGCAATATACTCATTTCACTTTCGTGAATGAGTATAACAAAAGAAATGCAATAAAACATTTAAAATTAATTCATTATACAGACTAAACACTCGAAATGTGTTTTAAGCACATTTTATATAATATAATTAATTTGACTTTAATCAATTTTTTTGTTCATATATTTTTAATATTTATAAATTAATTGCCAAGCAAAAAAGGTAGATAAATATATGTAGAGCCTGCTAAATTGATTGCCTGTTATTGAAGTTCAAATTAGAGCGAATCATAAATCAATTAAACACAGCTTGAAAACGCTAAAAAAAAACTTTGTTTTTATGCTTTTGAATGAGACAGTTTTTGTTTTCTCATTAAATAATGAACTATTCATTTGCTTTGATTTATTATAATTTTATTATTACATGAATTGAATGCAGTTTGCGCTGAGCTTTTGTTTAATACTTTAATTGTCTGCATTTGGAATTTTTTAATATTCATTTTGCGTTTCTCTTTCTGTTTTTTTTTTCTTTTTTTTTTTTTACTTGAAGTAAATAATACCACATTTTAGTTTAAGTTTTCATTATTAATTTTTGTTTTTTTGTTGTTTTTATATACACTGATCAATTTCGATTAAGTCAATGTGCTTTCCAAATTTTCCATCATTATCATTTATCGTTTACATTTATATATATTGTATATATTAGCTAATTACTCTTGCTGAATGGTAGAAAAAATGGTGTGCTACACTTAACGATAAAATATTCCGATTTATATATGTATGTAGCTTGAGAGACACGCCATATTTTTATATTCAAATACATGTATTTATATTCATTAAATTCACAACGGATCTAATTGTTAACTAAACTAAACATTGACTAACATCGCCCGCTATTCCACTATATATATTTACAGTAACTTATCAACTGACATATTTTAACTACATTTTCTACCGCAATCTTATGGTTCGCTTAACAATGATTTGATATAATTTTTGTTTTTCTTCCATTTTTGTTTCTCTTTTTTCCGCTATTATGTTTTGCTTATTTCGTAGCTCTCAACCGTTGCTTAAACTATGAAAATGTTGTCTTAAATCTAAACAGAGCTTAGGTGCAGTCTAGTAGTTTACGAGTACTTTTCGGCCTAATCCGAGAAGTTTTTCTCGTCGGAGAAGCGCACATGATGCTGCTGCTTCAGGCGAATGCCGGCAGCGTTAGCACCCGAACCGCGCTTTTTCAATGTCGCCATTTTCACAATCACGTTTCCGTTTCCGTTGCCGTAGCCGTTTCCATTGCCGTTGCCGTTGCCGTTGACGTTGCCATTGCCACCGCCAGAGGCTTTCGCATTGGCACTTCCAGCCGTCAACGTTGGCGACATAGTCGCCGATGTGGTCGTGGATGCGGGCGAGGGCAAGTTGGTCCACTGTTCATCGCAGGAGCAGTAGCCGCGCGCCACATCCCCGCCCTCGAGCGCCAGAGCGTGAATTTCTCGCTTGAACTTGAGTCTCCTCAGCTGTAGCTTATGCTCTATGCCATTCACTGCACTAACGCCACCGACACCACCACCAACACCACCACCGCCACCTTGTCCACCTTGCCGTGCCATAGTCACTGTTGTTCCGTGTGCTGCATTGAGTTGGCTGTCATCGGGGCCGTTCAGTTTTTGCGCCTCTTTGAGGGCATAGAACTCCTCAGGCGTTTCGACACGTAGAGTCTCTATGGACCTGTAAGTGGCAGAAAAGTCAAAAAGAAATACGTATAAAAATCTGTGCTAGGCAAAAAGAGTGGTTAAAGTATGTTAATGCCTGGCTAGCAGATGCTTTGGACTTGCATCTGTGGGCTAGAGAGTAAAGACTTTTGCTTTAAGGTCTGCCAATGTAAGTTTACAGTATTTCAGCAGTTCAAGCTACCTAACAAACACTCCAGCTAGTATACCCTATTTCACTAATTTGCAATGGGAAAAGCCTTCAAAACGACTTCGCCTTTGTATAATTGCAAACCCTCACTCAAATGGCAAACCCTCCAGCAGCTCTCCAAAATTTGTTTGGCTCCGTGAAAACGTTAATTACGAACGAATAAAACATAACAGAAATAAAATATATGTATACAAAAATATAATAAATATTAGCTACGATTGCAGCACGGGCAAACGAATTTTAATAAGGGTCATCAAAACTGCAGCTAATTAATTATATTTCTAAA